CAGGATGTGCCATACATTATAAAACCCGTCCTAAAACAATATGCCCTGTCTGTGATGAGAAAACCTATTCTGATACTAGAATCTGTAGCACACATGGTGGAATTTATAAGAATGCCTATTGTGAGGGTAAAAAAAATAAAATGAAATCTATAGATAGATATGATATGCGAAAAATATATAGTCATAGGACCCCCATCCTAAGGATATGAATGGTCTAAGACTCCAAAATGGGATGATAATGCTTAGTAAAATGTTTGTGCTAGAGCTAAAATATGCTCTGGTTCTAAAGCATTTATCTTGGTGAGTGCATCATATAAAGCACCCGGTCTATATTTTGATAGAGTTAAATTCGGGTGATAGAGGAGTTTTATAAGCATGTCACTCCTCCAAGCTTTTGTCTATTCACGATCCCAAGTTATCCCTATTAATGTAGACAAGCTATTACTGGAATAATTCATTTGGATTAAATTCTGAAGTGAGAATCATTTATTTTTTTCTAGAGTAAATAGACTCATTCCTCCCATTACAGTTGATTCTACACTAATAGGAAACCTTTTATGAATATCTGATCTACTAGCTAAGATAGATAAAGGTGGAATTAGGGCTGGGTGGTAGAAGTCGGCTAAGATGTCTAATTCAAATTTACCAATATCTATAGTCCTAATATCATCTAAATAATCTGAAAGCCTATCAGCATATTGGTAACCTTCTTGGATTAGCTTCTGAAATAGCTTTCTATTTAGATTGACCCATCGGCCGGTTAGTATATTGAGTACTGTTCTTTGCATTATGTCTATAACGTAAGTATGAAACAATAGTTTATCTTATTATAATATCAATTAATTTAAATACATGTTTTATTATAAAATTAAAAGTGAAAGAAGGTTTATATCCTAAAATACATTTGCTTTATCATCTTTGACCATGGCTCGCTTTACTTGCGCATTTATCAAGAAGGATAACACTATTTGTGGAAATAAGTGCTGTGACTCCACTGAATGCTATAGGCACTGGAAATTGTATGAAAAAAATATAGAAAAAAAACCCTGCCTTGTTAGTGGTTGTCGTAAATATACTGTTTCTATTACGGGATGTTGTCCTGATCATTCAGCTAGATTTCATTCACTAAATTATCGGATGAGAAAGAAGTATGGAGTTAATATTTCAGATCTATCTAAATAAGTGTAGCCAATATAATTAGTTTGACAAAGACTATAGTATATACCAATATGTATTCTAGGGTAGGCATCTTCGGAAATATTATATAAAAATATGGAAGTTACCTATCCTGACTAGTGTTGGGATTTTTGATTCACTATATCCTTGCCGATTTGATTTAGGCTTATTCTTTTTTGTTATATATCATGCGTAGTACGATACTCTGATATATGCACAATAGTACGTCATTTCTATTCTTCTCTGCAGAAACTTCACTATACTGTTATGGGTCATATAATATTACTTCCTCTGGTATCAGCAAGTTTTTCTCTACACAAATGCCGTTGTAAGTGTCATATGATATTGCTTCCTCAAGGCTCAATATCAAGTGATCCTCTATACATATGTACATATGCTATTATGGGTAACATATAATACTGCTGTAAAAATTCTTTCGATTTGAACCAAAAATTTCGATTTATTTTGATTTGACCAGAATTAATAAAAATCACATGTATCATGGGCTACGTTCTGAATAATTTGTATTTATTTTTCTAGAATATCCTGAAATAATAGTTATTTATGGTAACATATTAACAGATATCAAATAAATCCTGAATATCTTCTGTGATTTGCATAATATTCACTTCGCTAGAACTAGAAACATTACATAATTCATCAGAAGTAAGCTTACTATATGCATATCGGGTATCTTCACCATTCTCCCAGTATATTTCTTCTCCTGTTTGGTATAAAGGAAGCTTGGGTGCGTCTTCATTATCGAATGGACTAACTAAATGACAATAGGAATTTTTCTTATTGGTAGCTTTAAGCTTCATCCCATATGTTGCGTAAAGTGCAGAATTTAGTAAACCAAGTTTCGCCTGAACTGTTTCAATCCTGATTTTTTAGCACTGTGAGATGCATCAGTATTATCAAACACTCAAGCCATTTTAGGCACTAAACCCTGGAGATACGATATTGATTCAGAAGAATTCAGGCATATTTTAATATCATCAGACTTATATCTTGATATATCATCGACATCTCTAATAGGCGTACAATTCCTTAGCAATTCTAGACAAATTCGATGTCTCTCAGCTCAAGTGGCTACAATAAGTTTATCATCCCTATAATCTTTACGAATAATAGCTTCAACAGCTGTTTCATTGTCAGTGCCAGCATCTCGTAATTGCCTATAAGCTCTAAACCATTTTATATGATTAAAATTTCCATATTTCGAAATAAAATCTTCGGTCAATAACTCAGGTGACATTTCATAGTCATCTGCAATATGGTGCCAGTCCAGAGACCGCATCTCTTCTAAAGTCTTCTTTGATTTATTCTCTAAAAATTCAGCAGTCTCACGATCGACAATAGTAGCATTGGAAACATCTGCTATTTCCTCCGCTTTAATGATAGATGAACTTACCTTTACTATTTGGGATAACGATATCATATTATCTTTAGGTTTAGGTATAGGTTCTATAATAGAAATTACCATACCTGCCTTTTGGAGAAAATCAATCATTTTCCAACCAAATAAACGATAAGAACGGAATCTCTCCAACATATATGCTACCCATAATCGAACAGTTGGTATATCCTTATTCCAAATAATAGAATCAATATCTGGAAATATTCCTATATTTTGAAGTTCTCGTGGGAGACATTCACGTTTACCATTTAATAACCACTGAAATAATCCCTTTTCTATAATGGAAACGTTAGAAGATCTCTGCTCAATATGACATATATAATCCTTAATACACCGCATGCGGAATAACATTTGATTAGTTCTTGCGTTTATTTCTATGTAACTATTAAAAAGACAGAAAGCTCGCTCAAACTTAGGATTGGTACATGATACTCCTATTTTTAGAGTACTAGTATAGGCAATTAGATCTAAGTCTTTCCATGATTCTTCTACATTGCTAAAATCTTGAGCCTTTTCTACCGGATCAGATTTGCCATGATATTTCTTGATTCGCAATTCTGGAAAATTAGTCTTAAGGACGCGAACAATTCCTTGTACATCTTTTCTGAGATAGCAAATAAGTGAAGCACTTTTCCGAGACTCAAAAGGTAATGAAGACATTTTCTTAGCCCAATCCCAGAGTTTGGCTAACACAGTTTCTTTATTAGGAGCTAGGCAGAATGTTTTACCTTTCTGAGGCTGGTAAGTATTATGAATAATTGAAAATGGTTTATCCTTGCAAATAGCTTTAATCCATTCGATATTAAGATCAGTAAAATCATTATCCATAAAGATAATGCGTCTCACTTCTTGAATTAGTTTATATAATTTCTCTATTGATTGTCTCACTAAACGACTTTGTGTTTACAGATACTATTTCATCAAGCCATAAATTATATTGGATTGGAGAACATTTACATTTTTTATTACATTTACAATTATTGGTAATACTATGTAAGCTTTCTATCTGGCATACTACCCTTTTATGATCAGAAAGATTTATATTACCATCAATATCGTAATATGATTTAAGATTAAGTCTTGTAGTAATAGTATTCGAGTAAGAATGACGCGTAGATAATGCTAACAAATTCACAATATCAGATATAGTAAGATGTTCAAGAATGTATGTTTTTTCAGTTTCCCAAGGCAACCCTACATAAATATCACCTTCATTAGGTAATGGTCTTACATATCTCTTCTCATATGTTTCTGTTACTGAAAGAGGCTCATTATACTTGACTCAAAATGGCACTTTTATGAAAGCTTTAGAAAATCCTGGACTCTTTATCTTGTGAGAGGTCTGTGATAAATTTTTATTTTCTTGCTGAATTTTTTCTGCAATAGATGGGTCGCATTCAAAAACTTCCCTGTGCTCATACTATTTTGCCGAAAATATTTTACGATGAATTTACCACTTCTAGCGTATACACGACTGAACTACCGCTGATCCTTGTCATGTATACGTTTGCAAAGTGGACACCCTAGTGGAGCTTTTCGGTTAAAATATACGAAGTTTTCCTTTGTCTCTTCCTTTTCTTCGATAGTCCAATCCCTAAGATAGTTAGAATGCTTTTACAAAACTAGATTTGCAAATTTCTGTAATACATCCTGACCCACAGATATTCTTAGCGGATTATTATTTTTTTCTGTAC